TAATCTTGACAGCCACATGTACACAAAAGATTTACCAATTATACAAACCAAATAGGGTTTTATATACATGAAATCCAACACATGCATATGGTGAGAACAACTATGACACTACTTAATCTAAATTTCATAAAATTGTATGGATTCAAGAAAAAGTATTCGCACTCTAATTGTTACTCTGTTAACAATTCAGTTCACGTGTATACCATAGGGATACTATTTTGAAAGATAAAGAATCCCTATTTCCTAAGACTCCATATAAATCGTTCAAAATTTTCTTGATTCTAGACATTATAGCACATTTAAAAACAAGGTGCTTGCTATTATTAAGAGAATTTAAATCGATTTAATGGAAGAAGTTTCGTGGTCTATCGATTTAAGTCAATGAGAAAGAAAACTGTTCATGGATATGATGATTACTACGATCGATGAGAGTAAATTAAACTAATATCTTAATCGATGACTAAATTAAACTAATATCTTAATCGATGACTACCAAAAACGATGACAAAAAATAGATGTTCAATATGTTAGAACTTTGTTCTTAGGAAATAAAGCATGTGAAGAACAAATTTTTCCTCCCTTATAAGCCCTTATGTTAATACCTAAAGTAAAATGGATAATGCTCGAGTTAAAGAGATTGGGTTTGAATTGTGGTTTTGTAATTTCCGATTCTAAAACGCATGCCTCAACCTCTATTAAGCCTACTCTTTACTAACCCATTCAAAATCACACAATTTTGAACCCACAAACTTCATTAGAAATAAACAACATTTTAAATCAACCTAAGATAAATCATAGATCAGAGATAGAAACAATATCTATGGTTACATATATCAAAATCATTCTTATAAACACAAACTAATCCTTTTAAGGAGTTACAATTAATTCATTCCCTTCGATTGAGCCCATGAAAAAACCGATGTTTTCTCCTTCGTGAATGTCGATTTGAAGCCCTTGTCATAATATATGCCATAAAATGCACCTATCAACCAAAAATCCCAAACTATTAAACAAACTCTAGAATAATACAACATTTTTATGATTTGAGACTCACGTATGCAACAAAATTTAATTTGATTTTTCAAAGAAATTCAAAATTTTACATCAATGGTTGATTAGATAACTTGGAAGAAGATTACGTAGAGATTCAAGAGCACCTGAGAGTGATTACGTATGCCATGATCTTGAAGAATTCCATCATCATTAAGAAGCTTTTCATTGTGATATGAAAGGCAGAAATTTCGCCACACATGCTTCCTAATAACACAAAAAATCAATTTTCTCATAACAAAATCAAGAAAGAAATATGTCAAATTGTCAAAATAAAGATTCGGGAAAAAACCAAGAAATGTGACGATGACCCATCTTTGACTGCTCCATTTCGTTGACTTTTTTCTCAATAGCAAGTTTCAAATCCTTGACTTTTGCCGAATTCATCACTGCAACATCTAATCAACCAAGAATGGTTATTGATTAATGATTAATGATAAGGTGAGATGAAAATAGGAAGATGAGAAATAAGCATAATTGTATACCAAAAAGATGTGTTGTCCATTTTAATTACAGAAACACGCATTGCACTACCGAGTTCCAAGCTGATTAGGGTATCGACATCTGATAAAGTTGGATTTTTTGGTACGTCTGCAAGAACAGGATCATCAAGGAGTGCAGCTAGTGTTGAATTTAGTTTTGCTTTCTTGACATTGTTATTGTTGTACTCTAGAGCCACATTGTCATCCTCGATGCTACTTGATGTTGGTTCAGTCATGTCTGTATTTATCTGGAAGGTATATAAGAAACTCAGTGAGGCAATACATCAAACACCTTATGCGCAAGAAACCAAACGCTTTGAGAAATCGATCATTTCAAGTTACAGATTTAGAAATTGATAGCGATAAGGGAAATTTCATACAGAAGAAGATACGAGGATCCTTTGGGGTCAATTACCAAACAGGCGTCACTTATATTAAAAAAAAGGTTGCGATTTTAAATAGAATTACATGATTCCGAAGTTCAGTGTTGTCGTAAAAACGCACCTTTGATCCTAGGGTTTTCAACAACAGCTACAATAATGCAGAAAGCCAGAAATCAGAAATTCCTTTTGCGCCTTCGTTTGTTATCCAAAAATTTTGAATTATAGTAAGTTACAATTGAAATTTAACATATTCAAGCATTAACAGCCATAGTGTATCTCTTAACTATCAACGTCAAAAAATTAAAAATTAAAAGCAAATCAGCCAATAATTTTTTTCTTAAACATCGTTTCTAACGATATACAGGTCCATATATTAATTGGGTTCGTAAGAACCATCCATAAACTAGTCAACTTACCACAAACACAATTCATAATCACGGAATCAGATTTCATAATCATTATTTAAAAAATCAAAATGGGAATTTAGCGAAACGTCATACCTGTTGGAACTAGAGGGTGTTTGGCTTAGCTTTTGTGATTTGTAAAAGTTGTTTTTTAAAATGTGTTTGTATTAGCTTTTAAAGGGAAAAAATAAAAAATTAAAATGTTTGGTTTAACTTTTACATGTAAAATGATTAAAAAGAACTAAAAATTACATGGTTTAACTTTTAGATGGGGTTATAAATGTAATTTAATGTTTTAGCTGGTGAAAAGTCAGGAAAAGTCACGATTTCGTGACTTTTCAAAAAGCTGAAATTTACACTATATCAAAAATTGATTAAAAAGTCATTTTTATTTTACCCAAACATCTTTTTGAACCTTTTGTAAAAGATAAAATCAAAAATCACTTTAAAAGTTAATACAAACACCCCCTAGGACTCTAGAAAATGGTCACAACCGAGCAGTGGGAGCTTATTTAAATTTACCTCCCCTAGGCCTTGTTCCCGAGTTTAAAAAAGAATAAAAGAGACACAGAAAAGAAAGAAAAATAAAATTTTCATTTGTGTTGGAGATAAGTAATCATTTTGTTATTTTTTTCAAATCCTTTCAAATCCGAAAGTGATCATCTCATTTCCCTCTACTTCCTCTAATTCTCCCCTTTAATAAAACTTGGAATCACCAATTTTTTTTTTATTTTCTTCTCAATTTCACATATTTCATTTCCCTTCTCTCCTTAAATTGAACTCGGAAACGGAGTGTCAATCAAATCAATTTTTTGACATTTGATTTCACATTAATTATTTTTTTGTTTTTTTTTTGTTATTTTTAATTCTTTTTCAATTTATATTATTATTATCATTATAAATTTCATAAAATTTTCTAACATTCGGACGACATTATAAATTCGAATAGCTATATAAAATCGTTTTTTAATATTTTAATACTATTATTATTATTATTATTATTATTATTATTATTATTATTATTAATAATTTCGAACAACATTTTATAAATCGGACATTATAAATTCGAACGGCTATATAAAATTAGAAACATAATATAGTGCTCGACTAAGTTATTTCAATCCGCATAACGTATAACGCAATTGTAATACCATACCGATTAATACCCATAAATAATAGAGATAAACTTTGTTTTTGTTCCGATTTTATATAGTCGTTCGAATTTATAGTGTCCGATTTATAAAATATTTTATAATAATAATATTAATAATAAAATAATCATTTGAATTTATAATGTCCGATTTCATATAACCGTTCGAATTTATAATGTTGTCCAAATGTTAAACTTTTGTGCGAAATTTATAACAATAATATTAATAAAATTAAAATATTATAATAATAATAATAATAATAATAATAATAATAATAATAAAATCAACAAAAAAAAATAGGAATAAAACAAAAAAAAAAATACAAAAAGTCAAATAGGAGAGAGGGGGGGGGAGGGGGGGAGAATTTGAAAAAGAGGAGGATACTTTTAGAAAGCCCCTTTTAAAATGACGGAATCGTTACTTGGGCAAGCAATTGGCGCCAACCTATTTCGAATCGGTCCAATTTCGACCAATAATAAGAAAACTATCAACCAGATCAATTAAACTGAACTGGTTTTTGTGCCATTTTTTTGTACCCGATTAGAACCATACATGTTTGATATAACTATTTAGTGCGTTGAGCCTATATATATATATATATATATATATATATATATATATATATATATATATATATATATATATATATATATATATATATATATATATATATATATATACACACCAAAGCAATCAACAAAAAATAACCTGATACATAAAAAAAAAAAAAAAAAAGTGTTAATATAATCTAGAATGAAGTAAAAACAGCGAACTCAATCCTGAAAAAACATAAATTTTGTTTTGATATATTTTGTTAAGGTACATGTAAAATAATTAATATGTAACCAAATAAAGTGTTTATATAATATAAAATAAAGTCTAAACGATAAGCTACATGTTAGAAAATAAATCATGTCAAATGGACTTCAAACAAGGAGTTAGGGAAATTTAAAAAATATGAACAATCGTGCATAATGTTAAACATAAACACACCTTTCGGGTTGGCCTTAGTCTTTTACCCGGAAAGGTGGCACCAACTGAAAAAAACTGAAACCGATGGTAGGACAATCTTAAGAACTAACAATTGACCTGCTCGATGAAAACCAATCATGGTTTAGTGCGGTCTCAACAGGGCAATTGCTCAACCTTACCCCAAATCATTTAACCACTCTTATTTTTTTTGATCAAACGACTTTACTTTATGGACTATGAAGCATGTAAACAACTCAAGTAAACATGAGCTAAAATGTGGATTCGAACCGGTCCCAAAAGGTAGATTGTTGTCAAACTGGTCTAAAACAAGTCTGGATTGAAAAAAGATTGGTCCAAATAAACACAAGAACAATAAAAGACCGACCGAGATCGGTCCGATAAAAAACGAACAGTTTCAAAGACTGACCCAATATTGATATGAGACGAAGCCGATACCGCCTCAAAGAAGACCTAATTCCCTTGTATCTTTTACTAAAAAACTTAATCTTTAAAACTTAACTTAATAGTACCAACCAGCTCCAAAGGTTAAAAAAATAAACTTAAAATATGAAACTAATCCGCTCAAAACCGAATTTAAACAAAATTTAAACTTTTTTTTTTATTTTTGTTTTTTTTATTTTTTTTTTTAACAATGTAAGACCCTAAAAATATAGATACACAAGTTAAGGTAGCGAACCCTATTGGTTCATATTGAATAGAAAAAGAAAAAAAAATGGGTTTTGTAATCTCCAAATTCATATAAAGAAGTTTGGGCTTTAAGATACTTAGCCCACAAGGCTAATATTCTTAAAACAAAAGCCTTATAAAAGAGTTGGGGGAGATCAGAGATGTTGTGATTTTATGTTAAACGGAACATGAGAATATAATGAAAATTACAACTATTATAATTTGGTTATTAGATGTAAACAAAAATAGAAGAATTTACATCTTTTAAATTGTATTGGGTTAAGTGGGGAAAATAGACAGAGTTGAAGGGGTGATTATATTATTTGTGGTAAAAAAAAAAAAAAAAACCAAGAGTGGGTTTTCTTGGTCAAAAAAATAGGAGAAGCACACACATGTTTTGTGTGTAATCGAGAAATCAGAAGGATAGAGGAGGAAATAGAGAGTCGGGAGGTCATGTGAAATTAAGAAGTGAACCTAAATCTTTAGCAAAAATGAGGTTGATGATTTTGAATTTTTAATGGCAATAATCATTGATACATTATGGGAGTGTTTGGTTGGGTGTAATGGAATGAGAAATGAATGGAATGAAACGATAAATGAATGGAATGGACGAAATAATGAAATGATTCATTACCATTCCTCCTTTTATTCTTGCCTATCAAGCGCCTAAGCGCCTTCTATGTTGTTAATTTAGTTAGCTAATAATTGAAATCAGAAGATATGTTTATAGATGTTGATATTGGAAAACAAATAAAGGGGTTGATTTTTAGGGGAACAGGGAAACATGTTTTTTAAATGTCTTACAATTTGCATGAGAAATTCCTTTAGAAGTGAACATTGATAAAATGTTTCCTTTTAAGACATGAAATTAGAATAAAAAAGAATTTTGAAGAAAATCCAAGTGATGTCTTTCATTATTTCACAATCTGTAAACGAATTGTTTAGAGTTAATTATATAAATTATCGATCAAACAATTATTTCACTTATTACGATGTTTGAACAATATAAACAATAAGATAATGGTTTTGGATTTTTGTTTATTTCTTACAAATTACACACATCAGATGATGTAATCTTAAAGTATACTTCAAAGTGTCTTGCCTTAAGAAAATATGTATGCTTATGATATTTGAATTTTTTAAAATGTATTGATTGTTTTCTAATACATCTATAGTACATATAAATTTATTAACTATTTTTGTGATCATTGCATCCACAAAAATAAATTAAAAAAAAAAAAGAGGTATCTAAAATTTGTCTCATTGAATGCTAAAAAGATTACAAATTTAGATGTAAGTAAGTTTTTTGATATTTTATTTTGAATACATAGAAGTGCTTGTACTTGGTCTCCAGAATACCAAGACCACACCATACCGCAATCATATCGTATCAACATCCGCCATAAAATATACAAAAGTAACGAGAACACTACTCAATTTCTATAACTAAAAATAACATTCCACGCATAACCATAATATCTAATAAAAGTGACTATATTATATATCTAATATATACATTTTACAACACATTTACATTTAATGACATCTTTCCTGTTGACGACATTAAGAGTTTGGTGACTTTTTAGATAAATCCTCTCTAGAAGCATCTAAAGTATAATTCTCATCTAATACGATGTATTTGATGATGAATTCAAGCCATGTGAAATCATATTTAATGCAATTAACATACTTTCTCAAACATCCCATGTTAATATAATAAATTTGTTCAATGCTTCACTTAAAGTCACCACTAAGGCTGATGGGAGTGGAGATGCCAAGCACCCTCGCTAAGAGCTCGCTAGCAAAAGGAACACCACCCCTTAGCTCTCGCTAGGGGGCTCGCCAACTTGAAGTCGCTACATGCATAGCGAGAGGAGAGAGAGGGAAAGAGTTGCACCTGATTGGTTCTTTCCTTTTTGATCGGAAAGCTCTTGTATGAGCCAAACATTCACTGGCCAAGAAAATAGCAGCTCAAGTACTCGATCATTTCCCCCCTTTTGAATTCTTCACTTGGTAAGAGCTTTTGCTTGTTTTAATCAAACTAGAAAATCCAATTGAAAGGTAGTTATTATTAGTTCTAATTTCCAAACTTTAGGAACCGAACCACTACAAGAATTTAAACTTTGGGTTATCACCACACGCTGCTTACAAGATCAAATTATTAAAAAAAATATATCAAAATGCATTAAAGTTTTTTAACTTTTAAACACCGTTTAAATAATATGCCTAAAAAGATCAAAATTAATGAAATAATTTTAGGCATCACTTCAAAAAAAAAAAAAATCAGTTTTGTGTAAACACCTCACGTGCATACAAGATCAAATGATCAAAATTAAAATGCTTGTTATGAGTTTACTTTTAAGCACTATTTCAAAATTCTTGAAAATTCCTTAACTTTTAATACCATTTCAATAATTTTAATTTGAAACAACATGGTTATAAGTAAAGGATGTCTTGGAAAACTTACTTTTTTCAAAAGAACGGTGGTTTCCAAATCACAAGATCCCTCAACAACTCAAAATCTTTAAAACAGTGCTAGAGAATCTACTAAATCTTTATTGAGGTCAATGAAATAGAAACATTATGTTATCATATTCTCTAACTTTTCAATCCTCCTTTACACCACTAGGCATAATCTCATAAAACCAACCGTACTTTCCCTAACTCTTAAAACTTCTTCAACCAGTGCCACTGAATACATGGGGTTCAAAACACATGCCAAAGGTAAACATGTTAGCCGTCTCATATCTCTATCAATTTGATTTTTATCATATTATCCCATGAAAATTTAGTAGTTAGAAATAATATAGAACAAAGATATCCATTTGCTATTTGGGGAGCGAACCAAACATGAATAAAATTGAAGTTTTCAGCAATGGAAGAGATAGACAACATGAATAAAATTGAAGTTTTCAGCAATGGAAGAGATAGACAGACAAACAGATAGTAAAATTGTTACATACTGAAGCCATGACAATTAGTTGTTTTATATACAATGTATAACATGATTATACAAACAAATCCCATTGACAGTTACATCTTGAGTCTGCATAGTGCTCGGGAAAAAAAACCCCTTTAGCAATGTCGACAATGTAGAGTTATAGAGTTTGCCTCATAATTAAACTGAATACAACTACATAATGATGTAAACTTTGGGCCTAAGTATCGTGGCAGTACCATAACCGTTTTAGGATTTTTGTAGCCATCGATTATGATATTTTCTTGAGAAACCAGTGAGTTTTTGCCAATCAATCACCATAATTAGGCTGAAAACCCGGATCGGGAAAAATTAGGGCACACAAATGGAAATAAGTTACCTGAATGAAACTTAGGATAAGGATATC